CTCTCTCTCTTTCTCTCTTTCTCTCTTTCTCTCTTTCTTTCTTTCTTTCTTTCTTTCTTTCTTTCTTTCTTTCTTTCTTTCTTTCTTTCTTTCTGCGTGGGCCTTCCAAGCACGTGGTCAAACCAATCCCGTTGTCCTTCCCTTGAGCAGGAGATTGGGCGCATCTCCATTGAGATGAACGGCACCCTGGAAGACCAGCTGAACCACCTCAAGCAATACGAGCTGAACATTGTCGAGTACAAGCCCAACATTGATGTCTTGGAGCAGCAGCACCAGCTCATCCAGGAGGCCCTGATCTTCGACAACAAGCACACCAACTACACCATGGAGGTGAGGACGGGGCCGAGAGGGTGGGGGTGTCGGTCTACAGGGAAGGTGGGTGGGTCGTCTTGATGAAGATCGGCAAGGGGAGGAGCTTCCAATAAGTCTCACGGCAGCTTTGATCTGTACATCAGGGGTGTCGAACTCGATTCCGTTCAGGGCTGCATCAGGGTTGTGTTTGACCTGGGGGGGGGTGGCGGCCAGCTCGGCATCACTCGTGTCAGGTAAACCTGCAGCGGCCTGAGCACTCTGCCAGCGAAAACGGGTTCCCGAGCTCTATTTTCAGCTGCGATGGCCTCCTGCAGAAACGTAGTACGGGATGGCCGCACCCGGTCCTCACTGGCAGAGGCCAGTCCTTTGCTGTTCCCAGGGTAGACCTGAGCACCCTCCGGGCCTTGAGCCTGACACCCCTGCTGTACATCATCCAGACTAATCACGGAGCCGGGCTGTAATTTTAATACACAGCGGAATACGCACCAGGGGGACGTCGTCTATTTGCGCGCATCTGAACGTGCTCTCAGCTGGCCGCCTCCTCCTCGGGTTCCCACCAGCTGGGGAGATTCAACTTCGACATCCTTGTCTGAAACGTGCTCGAGTGTTGTTTTCCTTCTCGCCGCGTTAGCGTGTGTGCGTCCGTTAAGCAAGCGGATGCGTCGCTAAAAACGGCTTCCGTTCAGACGAACAGCCAGGAGAGAACTGTAGAGCATCTTAAAAGGAAGTCAGCCCTGAGGAACTTCAGGATGCTGACTGGACCAGTCGAGCAGCTTTTGAGGGAAGGACACGTGAGGACAAACCGATTAATTCATTCTGGTTGTTTTTGTTCCTCCCTCCCCCTTTTTCTTCTTTCCATTTTTACGCCCAGCACATCCGGGTTGGATGGGAACAGCTCCTCACCACCATCGCCCGGACCATCAACGAGGTGGAGAATCAAATCCTGACCCGAGACGCCAAAGGGATCAGCCAGGAGCAGATGCAAGAATTCCGGGCCTCCTTCAATCATTTTGACAAGGTACCCGCGTAGGAGGAGTGGGATGGCCCCATGGGAGGACCTCTCTGTAAATGGCCCGTTTACACGCCCTTTGTAAGTCTCTGGCTCTCCGAAGGGAAGCTGGGCAGTTGGGCAACCTTTCTTGTATACGTCTTGATTCAGGGACAGAGTCAGACAAGAGGGCACCACCAACTCAGTGGTGCTTTAAGTGGGCATCTTAACTGGAGGCTTTCAAAAACAGATTGGAGAGCCATTGGACTGGGATGGTGTAAGGTGTATGAAGTGGTGTAGGGTTTCCTGCCTAAGCCAGGGGTTGGACTAGAAGACCTTCAAGGTCCCTTCCAACCCTGTTATTCTTTATTCTCAGGCTCCTGCCTGGAGGAAGGGGTTGGGCTAGAAGACCTTCGAGGTCCCTTCCAACCTGGTGATTCTATGATTTGGACCAGGGGTCTCCAACCTTGGTCACTTTAAGACTTGTAGATTTCAACTCCCAGAGCTTTGCTGGCTGAGGAACTCTTGGGAGTTGAAGTCCACAAGTTCTTAAAGTGGCCAAGGTTGGAGGCTCCTGATTTAGACTACATCGAGGATATCGGCAAGAGGCATTGGCTTGTTTTTTTACTCCTAGATACAGCTAGTTATTAACTTAGTTAGACGGGCACCGTCTTTAAAAGGGGGGAAGCCCGATCTGACACGGTCGGGATCCTCCAATTCTTCTGGATGGGGATTATAATCTGGGTTCCCGTAGCCCAAGTCTTCAAATCCTTGTAGCAACCTCCGTCTACCTTGCTGGTATGAAATGAGAGGGGGGGTCTCACCCAGGTCGTGACACCCGCTACTATCCTTCCTTCTCCCGGTCTCCATACCAAGGATCCTTTTGGGCCAAGCCATGCTAGGGCCATCCCATCATGCTTTCGCCCATCACCTAGAAAGAAGTCAGGCTGAGCTCGACACAGCTCCCCAACCCCAAGCCTTGGGGCGCAGATTGGATTGCCTTGGCGCAGACGGCCGCGCAGTGGATTTGTAGATTTCCGCCAGCAGGAGGCGGTCTCCCCCAGCTTAAGCAGGGATGACAAGTAACTTGGGCATTCCTTGTTCCATCAGCTGCGGGGAGACATCCTGCAGCCCCCTTCCTGCCTGGGCTAAGATCCTAAGCTGGTTTGGATCTCACACACACACACACACACACACACACACATCCCTCAGCCAGCCTTGAACTAACGGCGTGTCTTTTCCCCTCTGCTCCTCCTTCCTCACCTTCATGGGGGGCCTCCCTGCCACCCCCGCCTTTCCTCGACGGGCGTGCCGTGCCCCTGCGCCCTTTCCTACCCGCGGCCTGGTGGTAGGACCACGGCGGCTCCCTGGGACCCGAAGAGTTCAAGGCCTGTCTCATCAGCTTGGGATACGATGTGGAGAATGACCGACAGGTACCCGTTGCCCGTAAACTGCGCCGCCCGCCAATGACAAGATTGCAATTAACCGATTTCCTTTCTCTCTTCCTTCACTACGTTCTCCTCTCCTCTCCCCCCTCCCTTCTCTCTGACCATCGTGCTGATGTTTGGTATCTGGTCTCCTTTGACTGCTCCTACCCCACCCCACCCCATCCCCGCCCCTTGTGCTGACCCCCATCCCAAATATTTTCCGACTGACATTTCTCTTTCTGCGTCTTTTCCTCCTCCCGTGCGGTCGATGCTCTTTTCATCATCGACCCTTGGCATGCTTGATCCATCTCTGCTCGCCCGCTACTTTTCTTCCTTCGTTCGTTCGTTCGTTCCTGCCTGCCTGTCCTTCCTTCCTTCCTCCCTTCCTCCCTTTCCTGTTGGCTGCTTGGAATAGAAGCGCACGGGGAGCATGGATGCAGATGACTACAGAGCCCTCCTTATCTCCACGGGATACAGCCTGGTACGCTCTCTGCTTTTGCCTCTCTCTCTTTGCTTTCTCGCTGCTCTGACGCTGCTGCTCCTCCAGCTCATCTCTCTGCCTTTTTGGGGGTGATGGCCTTTGGGCCTTGAATGTCACATTGGGGAGGGGAAATCAGGCACTGGGTGAGGGGTTGGGTGAGGAGACAAGAATGAGAAAACACGGACTTAATGCTCAGACTGAGCTGCAATTTTTCAAATTGGCAACTTTTAAGAAGTGTAGATTTCAACTCCTAGTATTCCCAGGGTGAGCAGGGTGTCATGCGTGGCAGCTGGGGAATTCTGGGAATTGAAGTCCACACGTTTTTAATCTTGGCCAAAGGTGAGAAACCCACCAACGAGGGCGAACTTTCAAGAGTTCGTCCTTTGGCACACTGCTGTGTGTGCAGAACCCTTCAAAAGGAGACCTGGGTCCCATCATCCTGCAGGAAGATTTGAGTCTTGTTCTTCTCCCCACCTCCACCCCTTCCCAGGGCGACGCAGAGTTCAACCGGATCATGAGCGTTGTGGACCCCAACAACAGTGGCGTGGTGACTTTCCAAGCCTTCATCGACTTCATGTCCCGGGAAACAACCGACACAGACACGGCTGATCAGGTCATTGCTTCCTTCAAAGTTCTGGCTGGAGACAAGGTGAGTTGAAGGACTTCGTTGTCTGTAGAATCAGGGATATTTTGGCAGGGATGTGGGGTTCCCAGAAAGGGGGAGAAGCTGGCTAGGGAGAGGCCCAACGATCCCGCAGAGGGTTTTCTCGCCGCACTCCTGAACCTCCCCAGGACTGGCTAACCAGGTTGGGTAGGAATCATGAGCCATGGTGGTGCAGTGGTTAGAATGCAGTATTGCAAGCTAGCTCTGCCGCTCGCCAGCAGTTCGATCCTGACTGGCTCAAGGTTTGACTCGGCCTTCCATCCTTCCGAGGTGGGTCAAATGAGGGCCCAGATTGTTGAGGGCAATGTGGTGACTCTGTAAACCGCTTAGAGAGGCCTGTAAACTCCTGTGAAGCGGTATATAAGTATAGAAATTATATCAATATATAAGTCTACGGGCTATGGCTACGACAGCACTCCCTTCTCTCCCCCTCTCAGAACTACATCACAGCAGAGGAACTGCGGCGAGAGCTCCCTCCAGACCAGGCAGAATACTGCATTGCCCGGATGGCACCTTACCAGGGTCCCGACACCATTCCCGGAGCCCTCGACTACAAATCCTTCTCCACGGCGCTGTACGGCGAGAGCGACCTGTGAGAGGATGGCGGCAACGGTGGCGGCAAGCGCTGGCACTTCTTAGGAAGGGAGGAGGGGAACGCCCATCCCGTTTCCTTCCACACCGTATCTTCGTTTTCTCTCTCTTTTCTCTTTGCCTCTTCCTCTCACTCGCACACAACCACGGGACTACACTTCTTTCCCCCACCCCCACCCACCCCGCTATCTTTTCACTGAAGACGAGAAGCTGCCTCCTCATTCTTTCTTTTTCTATTTTTTTAAAAATTGTGACTTCTACGAGCACAGTTACCTATGCAATAGCCATGGTTTCTTTGGCCTCCCAATAACAAGACACCCCACCTCCTCCCCAGCCCCCTTGATAATTGCGTTGCTGTGACGGGCAGGATAAATCATGGGTGTCGGAGTGCCAAGTCCAGCAAACAAGCATACAGTTTGGGAAGGGGGGGTTGTTCAACTTATATATATATATATATATATATATACATATATATATTTCTTATCATGTTCAAAAAGTAGGGGAAAGCTTCTTTAAAGTCTGTCCTCCCGCCCCCCTGCTTCCTTTCTCATTCTTTTGTTTTTAATTTATGTAGCTGGTAGGCAGGAACTCGGCAGGAACTAAACAGTGCTGGTGCGTGGATAATAGGGTGGTCCAGCGGGCACCCCACTCGTCCGCGGATGTGTTTTAATGCAGAACAGGATTCTTGTCCCCCTCTTAGCTTAGGCACAAACACCTTCCTCTGCGGTCTTCAAACTCATTACCCACTTTTTAATTCAGCAGCGCCAAAGCTGCTACCCCCCTTCTTCACCGTGTTCAGTACAGTAGCGATGCACAGTGGTTGGACCTGCGCAGGGGTATCTCGGGCACACGATGACTCTTCCTAGCCCACTTGGTTGAAATACATTCCAGGGTAGCGGGTGCTTCTAACGTTCTGCCTTGGAAGAAGTGGGCTATTTTGGGATTCTGATCTCAAAGTTATTTGGGTGGAGGGCACTTCTGGCTTACACACACACACACACACACATGGGCAAAACAAGCCAGGATTTGCTTGCAAGGGTGGCCTCGGGTTTCCCATTTTTACCCACACACACACTCTCTCTTCTCCTCACTCCCTATTCTGGGGCAGTGACTTAAGATAAATGAAAAGGGAATATTCACCCACGGGGCATCCACCGTCATTTTGGAAGGGGGCATTCTTAAGGAGATGTCTTAAAAGAGGGAAGCTTTGGCTTTTCCTTCGTGGGGGCCACGAAGGAAGCCGACACAAATGTCAGGTTCGCAAAACCGGGCAGAGAGAAGCCAGCAAAACTTTCATCAGGAAGTTCTCCGAACCTACTCAGCTACTCCTATTATTATTATTATTATTTGGCGGGGAGGGCAGCATCAAACCGAGTCTTCCTTCTCCTTTTCTCTTTGCTCTGAATAACCCTTTCGATCCGTCGCTTCAGCCTCTTAGGTCTATTTTGTAATTCCTCCTTCATCATGGTGCAGGGTTTTCTGAGGACCAAATTCAAATGCAAAAGAGAACCGTGCAAATCTCAATTATTATTATTATTATTTGGCGGGGAGGGCAGCATCAAACCGAGTCTTCCTTCTCCTTTTCTCTTTGCTCTGAATAACCCTTTCGATCCGTCGCTTCAGCCTCTTAGGTCTATTTTGTAATTCCTCCTTCATCATGGTGCAGGGTTTTCTGAGGACCAAATTCAAATGCAAAAGAGAACCGTGCAAATCTCAATTATTATTATTATTATTTTTTAAAACAAGAGACACGGCAAGTTGGTTGCAATCTAACAACAATCCAGGTGGTTATTATTATTAAATATAAATATATATATTCCTCTAGCATTGTATATTGTTAATTGATTAGGGGAGGGGGGGGAGACATTGTTTCTGTCCCTTTCCCACCCACCCACCCCCCACCCATTTTCATCACGTAGTTAAGGGTTACAGCTGCCCCTAGCCCCAAAAACTAAAATTTCCCCCCTTTTTTTTTGGGGGGGGGGGGGTAGGACGGCATCCTTTCAGTTT